CCCATATTCCCTCTCGAATGGACTATTACTGTACATATGTTCCCTTCAAAAGTCTAAGTGTGAAACTGTTGATGGTACCTGAAATCATTTTAAACATAAACCATAAGGATAGAGCTTAGTAAGTTCCTCAAAATACCACATACCATAAAAACCAGTGGGCCAAGCCGTAGGGTATGCTTCAACCCAATACACATCAGTGAGCCCAACCCTGGGGTATATTTCAACCCAGTGCATATCAATAGGCCCAGCCTTGAGGTATATTTCAATCCAAACATACAATATTAAGCCCAGTTAGGGGTGTATTTCAACCCAAACATATATGCAAGAGTCACAAAGACATCTAGCATCCTACATAATACAATCTAGTGGGTCGACATTCTTGCTTTTGACCCACGAGTAAAATGAAAAGACTCACCTAAATTATTTCAACACAAGCTTAACGGCTACCTTAAAAACAGAATAGCCAACCCAAGCTTCCTAAATCCATACTAAGACCAATCTTCAACTAATACTCAATTATGCCCAAGTTTAACCAAAACTCAAACTAGTAAAAAAGTCAACGGTCAAAGCTAATGTCAAAATTGCCAATAGCAGCCCTCCACATCATGGCCTTCCTTGCCCATGTCGTGGACACAATATGCCAAAGCAATCAGGATTCCACAGTTGCCACGATATGGCAACCAAAGGCCATGCCATGGGGATTGGTCTAAACAGCTCAAACGAGCTTAATCCATTTTTTTTTTCCGATTTCAAAAGCTCCAAAGCTCAGATCTGATCCTTTCCAAGGTCATAATGGATAAAGTTTCTAACTTTATCCATTAGGAAGGTCTAAACCCTGAAGATGTAGACTTTAAGTCTCAAAGGGACCCAAAAATGTATATTTCTCAACTTAATCAATTAAGTCCAAGTCTCCCACTTTCATATCCGAATCAACAAGATGTCTAGATGGATAAATTTTACAACTACATCCATAATAATGTCAAAATATATCAAGATCTAAACTTTAATACACTAAAATGACCTAAAGAACCAAGATAACTTGCATGGTTATAAGGGAAGGAAAAAGATCACAACTTTCCTAGTCCACGAGGTCTATGAATCATTCTAAACTAATCAAAGTATGTTGGAATCCACTCAACTCCAAGATTACCCATAAAACGGGCCAAAAGTGCCAAAAACCTCAAATGACACAATCTAAAGTACTAGGTAGCAAGATTGGAACTTTATACTTACAATAGTCTAGAAATGCAGTGTCTGTGATGGATCCAAACTTGAAGCATCATTCCTTACAAGCAAAAGAACCTTATTGATCTTTAAACTTCATCAAAAATAGCATAAAAAGCACCCAAAAGAGGAGAGAGGAGAGAGGAGAAAGGAGAGGATTAAATCTTGAAGGTGAATGCTAGGGTTTCTCCGAATGGGGTCTAGAGGTGATGTAAGATGATAAAATGGCCAAAAAGTCAGAACCTTATGCTTAAATACGTTGAAAACCCTAAAAATCATGGGCTTAGGCTTAACTGATCGTCATGTTGTGGCCATGCTTCTTCGTGTCATGGCGAATGTAGTGTCGTGGCAATTCTCACAGTGTCGTGGAGATGATTTTCACCCAAATACACCCCAACTTCAAACACCCATAAATTCTTCATTTCAACTCTATTTCTGACGATCTTTATATCCACAGAAAGTTATTGACGAGCCCCACACTTCTATCTAGTTAATTTTGGCCTAACACATGTCGATGATCCATGCAAGAAGCCTAATATATATCTTTTCACATTTTACCCTTTGGCTCCAAAACACCAACAAAGGGTTTAGATTACATAATCAATATTATCAACATCCAATAAATCTAAACATTTTTCCCTTAAAGCCCAATGCTTTTATGCGATCTATTTCTTGTCCACAATCCCGGAATAAGAAACTTTTCGAAACAGAATGTTATAATAAACACATAATATAAAATATGTACATATGCACCAGGTGAGGAATCCACATTAATTTTGTTTTACAGATGACCAAATAATATCGAAGCCAACAATTTTTTAGTCACTAATAAGCTTAACCCTTTTGTTTTAAATACATAAATATTTCTGGCCATTACAAGTAAAACCGTTTTTGGTGACATCCCCGTCAACCAAGGCACCTCCAACGATATCTTTGGTCATCTTCTCCGGCCAATATGACTTTTCCGATGAGTTTATCAGGATCAGAAGATCAAGTTTTTGAATCTTGAGATTTGTGTTTCAAAGTCAAATTGATTTTCAAAAGGTTTTTAATTGATGCAATAGTTTTTTTTACATTAATTTTCAAAAACTAGATGCAACATGTTTTGGAGATGAATAACAATTCTGTAAATTAACTTAAACGATTTATAAAAACCAAATCGGTCTTGTGTGTGTGTGGTACATGCAAGGTGTTACCAGAAGGTTTCTGGTCTAACGGTATCTGGTATTGTTTATCTCTTTGAGATCGAGGGTCCAAGCTTTGTCGTGGACATAAATGAAATTAGGTGTTAGATTAAAAGTATATTAGATTTGCTTCTTAAATTAGAAGAAGAAGAAGAAGAAGAAACATGCAAGGTTTTTGCCCTCTTTGATTTCGTTTTTAGGATGGTTTTGATTGTTTTCTTATGCCAAGTTGAAGGTTTTAACAAGAACAAATATGATGAAAATAGGAAGGAACCATCCTATCGAACATGTTTTCGGGTTCGGAAACAATGCAAGTTCAAGAAATATAAAAACATGTTCAACCAAAAAATCGAAATATAGATATTCTTTGTCAGTGAACCGGAAATTTGATTTTGGCCAAAAAAAAATGACTAGAGATGTCAGATTCACCAAAAACCAACTAAACTTTAAATACCCAAACACAATTATATTTTTTGACAGAATCAAGAGAGTTCAAGGTAATTCGGATAAAAAACTTTTATGACTAAATGTATGTACCCGACAAAATACCCCATAATGCCATCTAACTTTTATATATTTTTTCTTCAAACTTTCACCCATGTTGTGAACAGAACCCATACATGATACCCGAACCCAACATTCTCAAAATATTTTATTTAAAAAAAAAAATCAAATAATCTTCCTCTTTTCAAAAAACGTCTTCAAGTGCCATAGCTGCAATCCTGCAACAGACAAACACATAAACAACGAAACCAAACTGAACGAACCCAGTTTAGCGTTCGTCTTCCTGTTTAGCTCTTCCATATCTCGTTCTCTGTAACAATCACACCATACAATACCCACATTACAACTTATACATACACAATTCATTCGTATAACCATTTTCATCAACCAATTAACCTTTTCCGAAGATACAACATCTCCACATGAATCCCAGCAACCATTTCCTCAATTTTCTTTAGTTCTAATTGCATCGCCTGCAAATTGAAGCGCATACAAGAAGATCTATCATGTATCGAAGCTAAGTATGTATATAATTGCAACTGTTTCTATGACTATGGACGAAAAATTAGATACTTACATCTACTGAACCTTTCTTCGCAACATTAGACCAACCTTTAGCAGCCACACCGGATCCCCAATTGAATTCCACAGAGATGTTAACGGCCGGTTGGTGATCAATGGCGGAAAAGCAAACTAAATGATCGCCATCTTCAACAACGCGAAGCGTGAATTCTCCTGATTCTACCGCTTCCGCATAGTGATGGCGGTTTCCGCTCACGGAAAACAACTGGATTAAGAAAATTTAAATAAACCCCAACTCAATTTGCAAAATGAAGATTTCGTATCAAGTTAACCACACTCGATAACATGATAGAGATCAAAAGATGTATTCATCTCATGCAGATAATAACGATTAAACAAAATTTCAGTTACGGATTCATGGAATTAAAAACGGAAAGCTGTTTTCGGATTTACCCTGACAGTGATCTTGTGATGTTCAGGCAATGGATGTCCTTCATTTGGATTAACAATGGAGTACTGACCGACTGTCATGGAATTGATTTTGATGTCTTCTCCTATGCATTTTGTGTGACCCGATTCGAGCTCGAAACGGATTGAATGAGCAATGGTGGATAGATATGCTAAAGCTAGGATGAAGATGGCGAGCCCAAGCTCCATTGTTGAGCGAGCTCTGTTTGGATTTTGGGGAAGACGAATTAGAATGTAGGGATTATGAAAATTTTGAAATGAGAAAAACGTCAATGGCATTTCCTTCTCATTAATGCTCTTGTTTATTGAATTTAATTATTTACCATAATTTGTTTCTTATGAAAAAAAATATATATATTTAATAAACAAGTCCACCTAATGTTTATTTTGGTCAATAGATTTCAGATTTTGTTAATCATACCACAGACTTTTTTGATGTGTTCAAAAACACCCGAAATCTTAAAGCCGAATTTTTTAGTTGATTTTAAGGTTAATTGAATCAAATATTAACAAAAAAATGCCAAAATGGAGAAAAAAGGTTTGCATTTTTTATTTCTGTTTAAGTGCCGATCCAATAAAGGAAATACTTTGGACAAAATAAACTGGTAATCACTAACAAAGTTGGCATATAAGGCCGGAGGGTCTGGGTGTGATAAAGGTTACGATTTGCCACCTCAGTTGTGACAAACACTATGTTTGGCTTGAGGTGTGGTCTCTCTCTCTCTCTCACACACACTTGGTATGTGACAAAGATGATGTTAGAATAAGGTAAAGAGTCTTTGCCATAATAGAACCATATGATGCCACCCTCCAGCCTAAGATGTCATGTTAGGATATACCCGTTTATATCTTGTTTGATTCATTATGTTTAATCAATATTTAGTTATCGGTTAAACATAGTTTATGATTACGACCTAGTACCCATTCATTAGTGGTTACTATGCTCCCATATGGATATCATTAGAGATGAGCTATTTGGTTCATGTCATTAGTGAAGTTTTGTAATTTAGAAGATGATTGAATTTAGATTGCATCAGGATACAAGTACATAACCAATCTTTCATAGACAATATATAGATTACAATGTACAATAAAACAGGAACAAATAAATTTTTATTATCATTTTAATGTTAAAATGTACTGATGAGGTGGCACAACAACACCTCGGCAATTGATGAGGTGTGCTTGGCACACACCACACCTTGGTCTCAACATAGGGTGTTTGGCAACCTCTTGCGGCAATGCCTAGATGTGTGAGTAAAAGTCCAAAAACCATATTTGTTGATGTTTTTCTCTTTACAACAACTTTAAAAAAATCTGAAAATGTCATAAGGTAGATCATCCCTTTTAAATGGCAAGAAGTTAGTATTGTGTGACAAAAATAAAGTGACACCTGTATAACAACAAAAATAGTGTGATAAGAATGACACCACTTCTTTTCACCTAATAAATTTGGTTGTATTAAACACCAATGTTGGTATGAGAGGTTGATCACATTTTTGTGAGATTTTTTAGCAAAGATCCCAAGACCTATTGCATTGAAATAATAAGTGATATAATGAACCATATGATAGATTTTTAAACTTTAAAATGAATAGATTTATATATATATAAGCGAATGAAACTTCTAGGACCGAGTCACATCGTATTTGGATTCGTTTTCATAAATTTATATATGTTTAGTTCAACTTTACACAAATGACATAACCTGATTGGCAACAATTAAAAATCAAATAATCTTCTTTTTCTCGAAAAATGACTTAAGATGCCATACTTGTATTCCCGCCACAGACAAACAAATAAACAACGAAACCAAACTCAAATAACCCATTATCGAGTTTGTATGCTTCATTAACTCTTGCATATCTTCTTCACTGTCAAAATCGTATAACACATGTATGTATCATGAGTTTCACTTTAAATTCTATAATGTAGCATTATAACGTATTTTGATAACATTTCGTTACAAAAATATCACTGCACACTTTCAATTCTATTTTATAAATTCATGTTTAAAGAGTATAATTATATGCATCCAATCACGTTTGAAGATAAATCTTATTCAAAATGATACAATTTTACAGAAGATTTAAGCTATCTTTTTTAAACGGAGTTTTTGTTAAAAGTAAAAATTAAAAGTTTGTAAAAACTCCATCATAATTATTTAAAATAGATATATTGTATACTAAATCTTAAAGTGAAATATGGATTCTTTATTTTGTCAATTAAATACAAAAATAACTCACTTTTACTCTATTTTTATTAGGGGTTGTTATAAAAAGAATACAACGTATTTCTTCTAAGCATTTAATTTAATATAGTTACAATTTGTTTTTATCATTTTACATAAATGTTACATAAAATAATAAAAATATTATGTAAAAAAAAAAAAGTGGCAAGTTTCTTACATTTAAAATTTAAAATCTTGTATAATAATAAATACGTAACTTCCTACATCAAATGGTTAAAAAAAAAATGTTTTTCCTAAATTGATAGATTTTGAAGGCATCCAATTTGTTTACAACCAAACATTTTATTAACAAACCTCTCTCGAAGGTCAAACATCTCCTCCATAATCACAGAAATTGTGTCCTCCATTTTCTTCAGCTCTAATTCCATCGTCTGTTCATTAAACAAAACCGATCATTGTATCCCATCAATCTATATAAGAATACATGTTCCATTTTCTATATAAATTGTAGGGGTGTGCACCAAACCGCACAAACCGCATAAACCGCCCGCACCGCACCACACCGCACCGCATAACGCGGTTTAAAACAAATGCGGCGTGGTTTGCGGATTGTAATTTGGTCAAACCGCACTACGCGGTGCGGTTTGCGGTTTTTAATTACAACACCGCGGTTCAAACCGCACCGCACTATATATATATATATATATATATATATATATATATATATATATATATATATATATATATATATATATATATATATAACCAATTTAGTATAAAATAATTAAAGAACATAACTAATTTAGTCATACATACGAAAAAATGGATCGAACATGATGCAAATTTCAAACTTTTGTTTAAGTGAATTTGATGGGACTTCGCTTAATAAATTAGATATTTTTGCTAATTCTTTATATGTTTTTCTTTATTTTAATTATACGTTCGAACATGTACAATATATTGTTTAGAATATATATAGAATATATGTTTGTTATTCGTCTTCTAGTCTTAGGTAAAAACATATACAATATATTGTTTAGAATATATTGTTTACAATAACTTAATATTTATATACTCGTACTTAAATTTGAAAAGTCGCCTACCAAACCGCACCAAAACCGCCCACACCGCACCAAACCGCACCGCACCGCATAACGCGGTTTGGAACCTTCGTGGTGCGGTTTGCGGTTTCCAATAATTTCAAACCGCACGTGCGGTACGGTTTGTGGTTTTACCTCCAAACCGCACCAAACCGCACCGCGAACACCCCTAAATTAAATTGAGTAAATCTCATAGAATAAAAATGTAATTTTATAAAGAAAAAGATACTTACATCTACAGTCTCTTTCTTGGCAACATTAGACCAACCTTTAGCAGCAACCCCAGATCTCCAATTTAGCTCTACAGTCGTGTTTAAAATCGGCTTGTGAGCATCGGTCAAAAAGCAAAGCAGATGCTTTCCATTGTCTTCAACCTGAAGCGCGAAATGTCCTGATTCTACTAATTCCGCATGATGACGTCGCTTTTCCTTTGGTGCAAACAGCTGCATTTGCAAACAACACTTGTAAATGTAAATCGTCAACACATCTCTAAATCAATCATGAGAAAAAGCAAAACCTAATTCACCAAGCTTTCAAACGAATGGTTAGGGATTACGATACGACAGGGGTTTTGATTTTTGAATCCGAATTGAAATCAGAGTTCAAAAGGAAGCGAATCCGATGCAATTGGAATAAATAATCAAATCACAGCTACAGAATCGTGATAGGAGAAGTTGAATCATGGATCAGAAAGATCAAAATATCAAACGACGTTGCAGAAGGACGAAATTAAAACTCGGAGGTTGTTTGAAATTTACCGCGACACTGATCTTGTGATGTTCAGGCAAGGGATGTCCTTCGTTTGGATTAACAACGGAGTACTCAGCGACTGTCATAGAATTGATTTTGAGTTCATCGTGTATGCATTTTGCCACACCAGATTCGATCTGGAAACGGACTGATTGAGCAATGGTGGATAGAAATGGTAGGATTAGGATGAAGACAGCGAGTCTAAGCTCCATGGTTGATTAAGCAAGCTTTTTGGACTTGGGAGAGATGAATCAGAACTCAAAAGTTGGGTTTTAGGGTCTCATACATGGATTATGGATGCAGAAATTGGAGTAGAAAGAAGTTTTGAAAAATATAAACAAGCGCCAATGGCATTTCCTTTTCATTTATGTTTGTTAAAACAACCCATTTATAGAAATAAACTTGAAACTTGACAGAAATGAATTGAAAACGATAAAAAAAAAAAAAAAAAAAAAAAAAAAACGATTAAAGACAAACCAATTAAACAAGTTTTTTTTGTCTCAAATAGTTTTTTTTGTAAATTGTTAAATAAAATTTTATTTGAGAATGTCTGAAGATATATATTTTTAAATTAAAAAGACTATATAAAATATATACCCAAGGTTAATAATATGGCATGTCATTATTATTGTGTGTACATGTTTTTTCGGAATTTAAGATATAAAATAGCAAGTCATTGTTATTGTATGTATGTATGCAGAGGCAGTTTGTTATTGAAAGAATTATTATGAAATTGCTATTATAAAGAACAATTAAATGAATATATTGCATCAATTACTAAGACTAAAATCAATATAATATCTATAAAAGGTATATAATTAATATCCTTTACATAAATATTTGATTATCGATTAGAACCTTCAACTTAAATACATAAGCTCTAACTGATAAATTGAAACTTTGATCGAGTTTAACTCTTTTTTTTACACAAATACGATTATTATAAACCCGTATAATTAACAGAAATTTCCCAAAATCGATGAAATAAAAGTTACACATTCCTCCGAATTTATAAATAATATTCCAATCTAAACAACTCATTTTGGCTCCCAAAAAATTATGTCTCCTTGTTCTCCAACTAAACCAAGATCTCTAAGCCTCCTTTCTTGATAATATTCATATTCATCCAACTCCTTTTCCCTCTCTTCAAAAATCCCATCTATATGTCCCAACACCTTCTTCTCTCCCTCTCGTATCGCGATCGCAATCTCAACCCTCCGATTAATATCCCCTCCCTTCAACTTCTCATCCTGCAAACCAAAATTCCAATAAGTGACCGTGACAGTAACAGTGACACTCTGACATCACACAGAACGTCACCGACAATGACATTGACAATAACAGTGATAGTGTGACATGACAGATAGTGACAGTAACAGTGACAGTGATAGTGACAGTGTACCTCTTCAATGGTGGTTCGATAGCTAGAAAGAGCAGAGCGGCAAGCAGAGCGTACAACTTGGCATATGACCTCCTCGTTGTCACGGCTAACGGGTAATTCAAGGTGGTCCCACACAGAGTTTCTAAAAATAGATTCAAGTAGGAAGGAATCGGTGCCACCAAGTGCTACAAGCCTTAAATAAGGTAGCATTTTTGGTGGAAGTGGTCTTCCTAAAGTGATGTCAAAATATTGAACTGCTTTTGTGCCATTAGTTTCAGCTATATCTAACTTATCATCAAAATAAGGGTCTGAATCCGAGATCTGTAGTGTTAAAGTGTATGTATTTCTGTCTACTGTTGATTCTATAAATCCATAGTCTAGTGCCAATTCTGCATTGCTTTTGTTCAAATCGTATTGGATCAACACCTGCATAAATGCAACAAAAAGGATACTTTTTGTTAGAAAAAAATATGGGAGAACTTGATATAAACTTGAATCTTGAATGTAATAGGTTTGACTCACCTGTTGACCAGCCTTGACTGGTATAGGACTTCTCAAAGAGAATATTTGATCCCTGGAGAATAGGCCAGCACCTTTGATCTCATATGCATAATCTTCTTTGGTTATACTAGGGCTATGATTGATCTGACATTCATGTATATATATGTCAGGAAAGAACGCTGTGAAGGGCATTTTCGGAAATTAACCATATTGTGAAAAAGAACAGTTTTAGAGCTTACCAAGTCTGCTATTGGAATCAAAACAAGATTTTGACCACGAAGTCGTGAGAATGCCCTCGATCTGAGTATCCCAAAAGCCCAGATGAAATCATTGAGTGTAATTGGAGAAGGGAAAAGTTTTGTGTTTGGAAGAATCACTTGCTCTTGGACTTGAAGAAACTCATTCTTCACATACTCTTTGACACTCAATGTTGTGCTCAATAGTTGGGTTCCTGAGAAAACTCATTCTAATCATGATTTATCTTTGGTTAAGTAGTAAGAAGTAATTATAAGGTATATGGAGAGTTGAATCAAGCTATAACATAATTTAACCAACCTTCAATCTCACTGAGCTCCTCTTCTGACCTGTTCTGGAAAAGCATCAGAAAATCAGCCAACTTATCAGTTATCATCAACAAAGTACTTCCGAATGCAAAGTGGAAGAAAATCCCCAAAATTCAGAAAACACCTAGAGAAAGAATAAGGTAGACTCACCAGAAGATTGTGGAATCAGTATACTCAGGAAGAATATTAATGTAATTTCTCCAAGGAGAATAATCATCGTCTTCTCTCAGCTTCTCCTTAATCAGAAACAGAGCGACCGAAATCCATGGCTTTAATCCATCACACACCCTACCAATTTCAGAAGCTGAAACTGTATCTGGATTAATCCAAAACTTCTTCGGGACCTCCAGAACGACTTCATTTCGACCTATGTCTCTCTGAGCAACCAATCCTAGACCTTCCGCGACGATTCCGGGCTTCGCTGGCGTGTTGGAGGATACTACCTTTTCGTCACTTAGCCATTTCCAAAATGTCTGGACCGCCGGAGGAAGTGGTGGAGGCGGTGCTGCGTTGCATTTGACGGTGAACCGTTTGTTGTAATGGAGAAGTAGTGATTTGGATCTGAAACTGAGAGGGTTTGGAGTAGAGAAGGTAGGGAGGAAAGTAGCCATGGCTGGCTCTCCTGTTCTCGTTATTGGTGGTTAAAAAGTGATGCACTTATCCTTCCCGAGAACTTGTTTATGTTTATCAGTTTATGTTGGTTTAAGATCATCGTTAATAAAATATTGTTTATCAATTTATCAATTGGAAGTTTTTGCAAATCAATAATATAGTGTATAGAATATTTTCTATTATTAGAGATAAATTTTTAGGTCAATATTATCTTAACTGTTTTTGATTTTTATGAGTGGTTTATTTTAAGAATTTTGTATTTGTTATAATGGATATTATATTTCTATTTATTCAATAATATTTTATTTTATATTTTAGATACAAATTATTGTTAAATTTTAATTATTTATTGACAAATGAATGTATTTTATTTTAATTTTCAATTTTTAAATATTAAATTTGTAACAATTATTATTGTTTTATTTTTTATAATTATATCGTTTTTATTTTAAAAAATAAGGAAAAAAATATTTTAAAGATTTTTAATCTTAAATAACAAATCTAATTAGATTTATCTAACATCCCAAAATTTTCAACAAACTTAAACATTTCAAAACCATATATTTACTAATAAAAGTATTTACAACATCATTGTTTTCTAAACATTATTTAAAATCAGAGTCTTCCAAGATACAATCAACTGTAAACCAAAGATGTGTATGGTCACACCTTCGTCTTATCACGGTCCTCCAAGGTACCTGAAACCATAAATCAAAACTATAAGCACGAAACTTAGTGAGTTCCCCCAAGATACCACCGCACAAACAAATCACATGCACAAACATTCATATCTGGCTCAATCAACCTCGGGCTAGAATATCAGGCATGTCTACGATGGGCACAGTTATCCTCGGGATGGAATGCCCTCATATCATATGCATGTTTGATCCAATCAACCATCAGGTTAGAATACTAAAACATGTCGAGTTTAGTTAACCATCGGGTTGGAATACAACCGGCCTGTTGACTGATGCAGAAAGCAGTCCAGTCTCACCATATACCATAACAAGCATGTTAGGTCCAATCAACCATCGATTTGGAATACCTCCAGGTCCAGTCATCCATCGAGATGGAATACCCCAGGTTGGAATGCCAATATATATAACGGGTCCAATCATCCTCGGGATGGAATACCCTCGGCCCAATCAACCATCGGGTTAAAATATCCCCGATCTGTTGGCTCACGTACATAGCAGTAAGGCCTCAACCACCCACAATGTGTGCCTATATAACAGTTAAACATATAAACAATCTACAAACAGTCAAATAAATCCATAGATCACTAAGCATAGCTTAATCCTTTATACCAGGATACCGATTTAACAAATCGGTACAACATAACATATTATCACATAATAGGATATCAAATCCAAAGGGTCGGCCTTGGTACCTTCGACCCGTAAGTACAGTGATGAAGGACTCACCTCAAACTATCGAATATCTCGGATAAAATCTCAGACTGTCGATCCAGAAAACTCCTCGTGCGCTAGCACCAACAAATAATACCAAATTAATAATTGGTCCAAAACCCATAGTTAGGATCCAAGTCTGATTGTTCAACACTCAAGGTAAAAGTCCATTTTACCCTTTCCTCACTCGGCCCAAAATCTGAGGCCCACCAATAGCATCAAAAGCTCATTATGGCCCAACTTCCTAAAATATACCCAAAGCTCCAAATGGACCCAAACACCAAAAGGCCCACATACATAAAACTAGGCCCAAAAGCCCAAAAACCAAGAAAGCACACAAATAAGCTTCAAGGTCTAAATTGCTTCTAAGCTTCAAGGTCCTTGCACCAACTTCTTCTTCTTCAAGAACACCAACAAAGCACACAAATGAGCTCAAAAGCACTGTTCTCACTTAGGGTTTGCTAGAGGGTTGAATTCTCAGTTGGAGGCTAATTAGGGTGAAGGTCTTGGGCCATAAAGTTGTTTAAATAGGGTGCAAACCCGAAATTTTAGGGTTTGTAACCCTCGTACGTACGCCCAGCGTACTAGGTCCCTCGCATGTACACCACGAAGAGTACTCCCAATGTATAAAGTTTTTGCCAGAAATTACCAAAATGCCACTATGGGCCATTTTGCACCCCCTTCTCATGATAAGGACTATACTGCAATGTTTATTCATGCTTAGGGTTAAAATTTAAAATACCTCCACATCGGGATGCTACATCACCAATGGAGTATCATTCTGTCCTTAAGTATCGCCTCATGATTCCATTATTTTTAGTTGATGAGATATAGCTCGTTTGTTTCAAGGCATGTTTGGACTATTTTGGCAAACATGTAGTATATTATAGAGATATTTTGATATTTACGTGTCGACACAACATGTTCACCAAAATAATCATTAATTTCACAAATGATATCTGCAAAGTTAGAGGGCATTTGTGTAAATGATGACGTCATCCAAGAAATGATGACGTGGCTACCAATATGATATCATTTTGAAAGAAAAAAAACAATTCTAAAAAAACTCGCAAACCATCATATGATATCATTTTGTGTTAGGAATCTTCAAAGACTATTTTCACAACCAAAGAAAACTTCTAACATACACACAAAAGGTTCTATATATATATATATATATATATATATATATATATATATATATATATATATATATATATATATATATATATATATAGTTAGGTTATATTGTTCTAACTATCTATTGTGTGCATGTAGGATTAATTCTGGACCAATTATTTTAGTTATTTTAAGAAAGTAGTTAATGCATATTAGATGTTAAAGATATAATGAGCATTAATTAGAACTTCAACATTTAATATGCATTAATTACTTTATTAAAATAACTAAAATGATTGGTTCAGAATCAATCCTACAAGCACACAATAAATAGTAAAAACATTTGAAACTAATTATATATATATATATATATATATATATATATATATATATATATATATATATATATATATAGGGTTAGGATCAAAATGTAGATCATAAATATTGTGTGAGTGTATGACTAAATTTTGGTCATTAGATTAATAAAAATGAAAAGTGGTGATCTACGGTACATTTTATTAACATGGACTAGCATTCATTATATATAGCTACACTTAGTTAATTATAATGGCAAGTATGATAATTTATTAAGAGATATAAATAGAATTAACTACATTCTATGTTAATAAGTCAAGTCAATTAATAAAAAAATGAAATAAATAAATATTTAAATAAACATTTTTGTAAATTACTCAATTTATAAGAAAAATAATCAATTTAAACGTATCGCTTCCTCAAAATTTTAAATCACCAATTATTAGATACATTCTTAAAGAATATAAAATATTGATTTTTGAGAATGATTAAAAACCAATTTTTATAGTTAAATAAACATTTTTTAGAAGATTCAAAATCAATTTTTTTAATTAAATAAACATTTTTAGAATGATAAAGAAACAATTTGGTTAGTTGAAACTACATGCTTATTGACAAGAATGGTTAAGAATGACATTTTCCTAAAACATTATTGAAGAATCAGAATTCATTCTCTAAAATAAAAGTTAATTCGTTAAGAATCGATTAATTGATAAATGTATTTGAACCACTTAGCAAAAATTGTTGAATTTAGATTCTTTTTGGAGCTTATGTTCTTTTGAACATTTGCTTGAATTCGTAACTATTTAAATTTTTTAACTTTTCAAGTTTATCATCATAATTTTAGCATAAAGGGTTGAATTCTCTGAAAATAAGACATTTGAATATTTGATATAATTTTTTGTTCTTGGGTGCTTTATATGTTTTTTGGGGTTATGAAATAGTTTGAATGTAGTTGGCTCATTTTTTTCCGCTTTCAGATATGATCATATCCAGAGAATATAGAATGCAGTTTCATTGGTCATTGGTGGCCAAGGGAGTTACATATCAAAGTGAATATCATCATCATCATCATCATCATCCAGGTTTATAATTAACATATATTTGTCTTTATGGGCTTTTTTTTCGATGATGAAAATGATGAGGGTATTCATGTTTTTTTTCATAAACAAAAAATAGAGAGCGAGTCTCTATCCTACCTTTTTGAGTAGAGAAAAAATTACAACTTTTGTCTCATTCAACATCGGTATTAGTCAAATGTAGTACGGCTTGTCATGTTATTTGTATTGTAAACTTTGATGGTTTATTTAAGATTAAATTAGCTTATAGTTATCTTTTACATGAAACAATGAAACCTATAATCATTCAGATGGTTCTTTCCATCAAAATTCCAATGAGTCTCATTCATATCCTACTTTATTACTTTATGCCGGGCTACAATTCATATGTTGGTCAGATTTTCTTAGTGTTAACGGGTAAAATCAGCATATATTATTATAAACATAGGTGAATTGTAAGCATCCACTAAGAGTTTTCAACCCATTTCAGATGCTAAGGTCGATAAAAATGATATTGATGATCATCTAGGTGGTTATGACAACAATTCCCCTAAATATTTATATTGTTTTGTGTTCACTATACGTGCAATTAAGTTTTCACCTTATGTTTATATGTAGAATGAGGCAAGGAAAGAAAACTAAATTGCTATGGTGGCAGAAAATAAAAGAATCGAAGCTTCACAAAAGTCAACATGGTTATTAATGTTAAGCATTTTATTGTTTTTTTATATGTTTCCTGCGTTTTACGCGAGTTATAATCTAGTTTCTTTTGATGCAAGCATAATCATTATTTTCCAAAATTATGATATTCGAAGTTTAATTAGTTACCATAATTATAAGGATTTAATTTTAGATATCAATTAATTTAATTAGCAAAATTATGAAATTATCTTTATTAAATGATTGGTTCAGAATTGTTTAAACGTTCATATAATAATTAAGGTTTATATATGAACCTAACTCTCTCTCTCTTTATATATATATATATATATATATATATATATATATATATATATATATATATATATATATATTCTCCAATTTTACAATATCATAGATGTCAGGCTATAAACGGTATGGAGGTTACTTGGTGATTGAGCTATTTTTTGAATTTCTTGAAAAATAGTTCTTTTCTTTTCTGTTTATTAGTTATCCTTATAGTTTTATTTATTTATTTATTTTGCCGTGATGCGAGGAAAAAAATGATGAGAAAGTTCACACATCACCGTTTTCATTTCATGTTTGGTAAATTAACTGATCTTATCTCTACTAATCATCTAGTCCCAGTACATAATACTATTTTTCAAACTTTAGACTAATGATGCCAATATAGATCATATAATAGAAAATATATAATTTTGTTACCACTATAAAGTTATATTTGTGTGGAATATCCAATTTACTTTTTTCAAATGGTAGTTTTCTTGAGCTGCTATTAGTATATATATTGGTAATTCTGAATTTCCACCACACGTTTAAAATCCAATATGATATCGTTCATATTCATAAACCTCTACAAAATTTCACAGGTAAAAAAGATTATTAATTTTGTTGAAAGACGAAATTTCAGTCATCCTTCTCATCTTCCTCATCTTCTTCTTCTTCTTCTTCGTGGTAACTAAAAGGAAGTGGCACAGATTTAAACGCTCTATACTTTCCCACATTGTTCAAATGCTCATTCTCCAATCTGCCCACACATAAATCACATCATCACTCATCATATCTACATATCTATATATCTATATCTATACATACAAACTTATGAACGGAATATTATTTTTTACATACCTGAAAAACATCCACACCCCTCGCCTGAATATTTCTAAACAGGAAAAAAGACTTGATATAGCAGTTCCTTTGAGGTAATGCAGGTTAAATTTCAATATCAACTGAAGCCACGTAAGTCTCAACATAACATCCAACACCTGTAACACAGAAATTATAAGAAAAACGGAGACAACCAACAAATAATGATAAGGATTAAGAAAAAATTATGACTTTTGCTTTTATAATTTATACCATCACTACAAAGTAGACACTTGTATGCCTTACTGAAAGCTTATCTCTAAGGAACAAGTTGTTTGACTTCCTTTGTAAAAGTCCCCAATCCACAACTATATCCCAATACGTGTTGAACATAATCGAAGCGATTGAAGTCATAAGAGCCAAAACCTTCCATGTCTTCTTCATCTTCAATTCAAACACAGTTCTAAATACCACTGCAATAATCGTCAACAAATATCTCGAACCATTTATCAAATGCACCCAATCTTTTTCCTCAACCAATCTCCGAACACACTACAATCACAACACACAAAAATTAATACCCTAAAATCATTTATATGTCATATTATTATATATATTGTTCATCACCTGGAGGAATCGAATCCAATATGGTATAATCGCTACAATAATATAGAACACATTGTAGAGATCCATCGTATGACATTTTTGCTCCTTTTGATACCATCTCATACCGTAGTAGCATATGTAAAATTCTAAGCACCTCATCGCTTGAATCTGACTAGTCAACTGATCTGCTAAAAAAAAATCCGCAAGCGAAACCTGAAATCATAGAAAAAAAATAAAATTAATGTGTACGTAAGTTGGAAGGTGTTTACTTTTAATATATATACCTTGTAGAGAGGAGCGCAAATGCAATGGAAGAGAGATTTGATAAGAAAGAAACGACTGGATTTGTATAAGATATTGAAAGGGCAAAAGAATATGAGAAGAAGTAGAATGAGTAAGATTAATGGAACTAATTCGATGTATTTTTCGTATATGGAGTGAACAGAATCGAGTTTCATGTGAACGTGAAGAAGAAAGGTGGAGAGTGTGACAACTGTAACACCAGAGCTGACTAGAAACACATCTTGGTAGCTTAATTCGGTTCCTTGCTTGAATCCGAATATAAACGGGTAGTTGATTCTACAACGCTTCCAGAAATATATATTTCCAGCGTATAAAAGCATGTGTAGGATTATATACGCATATAAACTGCAACCAAAATCAACAATTAGTTAATTCTTTGTAGATAATAATAATAATAATTAGTTGATTACAATTTACATGATCACCTGTAAAGAGGGAAAACATTTTCCATGTACATGGTGTGCTCCTGTTTAGACATAACTTTCCTTGTTTGTATAAGTAATATGGCAGCGATCAAAAGTGCAATTGAGCAACCAGAAAAGAATCCTGAAAATTAAATAAAAAACGTAAAGATGGTGATATATTTGTAGAATTTGAATTATTGGTTGTTATTATAAATTTATGTACCTGAAAAAAATGTTACCCTGTGCTTTTCTTTCTTTCTTTTTGGTCTTAATAGTTTCATACCTTCTCTACGATTGGAGTTTGCAAAGTACTTTATGAAGGAACCCTCTACACGATCCAAAAGAAGAGTAACCTAAAAAAAAAAAATCACATTTTAGATTCCAAAAAGTCAAAGATTTTGTCAACGCTAACCTCATCACAGCTCCCGATGTAAGAGTCATCCACAATTTTCATGTATGACATTGCTGCTCTTCTTAATGCAATCTGCGTATATGATATATACAGAGTAAGATGATTAGAAAATAGAAAAAAGTCAAAAAGAAAAGACCATAGTTTCCTGACCTTTTCATATTTCTTCATGATCTTTGAGAATGCTAGGATATTTACATAGCTGTTTTTCATTTATGAACAAAGAGAAAATTCATGGCTCAATTTTCAAAATATGGTTTTAAATTCATGATTATTTTATAATTTATATTCACCACCTGTAATGCTTGAGAAGATGGAGCTTGCGATAGAATTCAATGAACACAACTTTCATTCTGCTTTCTGCTTCTTTGAGCTCCTCTTTCTTAAACCTTAAATCTTTGTCTTTTGAGTCATTAAGAACACTTCTTATGGTTGACATTGGGCTTTCAAGGGTATTGTTGATCTTTACACGATCAAGAACATCCAAGGGACCTGATTTATGTTTATCAGATTTGGAATCAATATGTCTTACTTTTTTAAAGATTTGGGATTTGGGATATGGGATATGGGATATACCTAGTGAAACTCTGCTTGGAGAATTTATATTTGAGGATTCTATGGAGCCACTATCTGTAGCAATTATTCTCTGTATATGACATTTATTTATATCTGGTTGTTCCACTTTGATGCGTAATGCAATCAAAGCATTCATTTGTTTATTTATTGAAGTTGCTTCTTCAATCACTTCCTCCACTTTGTCCCTATAAAATGTATTAACCTTGTTAAGCTCCTCATCAAGCTTCTCAAAGAATGTAACCTCACTTTGTCTTGGTGACATGAGAAAATTGGTGTTGTATACTTCTCTAGTATCATCTTGCCTCACAGTTTCAACAGCTATAACTTGGTTTTCAACATCATCTGTGCTTTCATCATCAGAGCTTGATCTTAGATTTAGATCACTAAAAGGTCTGTATAGTGACAACCTCTGCTGTGAAATTCTTGAAGGTGTTGGAGGTTCTTCTAGTAGTTTACTTTGTTTAATTTTATGTAATATTCTCTTGAGTCCATTATAGTCCATGTAGGCTTCAATCCATTCTGGCACCTTTTGTTGCTTGAACTCCTTTCCAAACTTCATTTTTGAGTATCAATTTCCTTCTTGGTAAAAAGAAAACCTTCAAGTTAGTCAGCAAGTCAAAGCTTGAAAGTATCAAATTCATGGAATTCCATCAAACAGGTAAAGGATGCCTATTAGAACTTATACAGTATGAAGATGCTCATGAAGAATCTCACAACTGATATTGGAACTTACAGAGAAAATATGTATTCTCTTGAACTGATTGATTAAGGTTACAATACAACAAAAATCTAGGAAAGTATAATCCTAATTAATCTACCTATACTGTAACAATTGATATATCATGTGATGTATCAAAATTCAGGGGATATTATATCTAAATAAGATAAACCTTAACTACTACTAAATTTTGATTAAAGAACAGATGGTTGCCCCTCGATTTTCAAAACATAAAATAGTTCTATGTTCTGTTTTGATTCCAAATAACACCAAAACGAAATTCAGATACACAAGTGCTCAATGGATGAAAAACTCATCTGTACAAATTCCAAGCCAAATACAAGAATACATATAAGTTTCTGGAGGGAGGGAACATCATTCAAGTTCTATATAAACCCTATCAACTCCAGAATAAAATTTTCTCGTATAATCATTACACAACCAAATTATGTAGTGAAAACACACATTAAAACAAATTTCAGCTGTATGAACACAAAATAAAGGCAAGTTAAACAAAAGTGTGCGTAGATTGCTATAAAGGGATATAGATACATGATGAACTCACCAAAATCATAAACACAGATGGCGAATTTGCAGCGAGAACTGAGAAGGGGAGAAAACCTTATCAGAGACAGAGAGTGAAAGGAGGCGTCTCTGTGGTGTGAGCTGAATGTGAGAGAGGTGTCGTTATAGAGTTGAATGGCGATGGCGGTTTACTTGATTTCTTCAATTTTACCCCAGGCCGTGACTATTGACTAGCCTCTGAAAATCAGGTGTGCATGCTGAAATGGTGTTGACACGTATATTGAAGAGAAACAAAGGAAATAAATATATATACTCTGTTACTAATGACGTAAGCATTTTCTCATTGACCTATGAGAAAAGGGATTTATTTTTGTATTTACTTTTAAGTTACCCGGGTTTTTTTCCATAAAAAACAAAATTTATTTTCTGTCTATACCAAAAACTTTTTTTTTTTCTTTCAAAGAGAATCCAAATTTTTACCAATAACCTGTTATTTTAGTTCAACAATTTGTTTGTGAATTATTCGGCGAGTTAATCGTTTATGTTGATTTATGTGTACTCTTTACTAATGAAGTTTTTTTTTTTTTTCTAAGTTATTTTTTTTTTTTTTATATAAAAAAACCTGATTTTTTTTCTCTTTTCCAAAACCCTTTTTTTTCAAAAAAAATCCAAAATTTACCTATAACTTGTTAGTTCAGTTCTAGTAAGTAGAACGGTAAAAACGAACAAAACATTCAACAATTTATTCGTGAACTATTCGAATGGAAAGTCCGTGGTGTATATATACTTTGTTACTAATGACATAGGCATATTCTCATTGATCTACAAAGAGAATGAAGTTTTCTAATAAACTTAGATTTTTTTTTCAAAAGAATCCAAATTTTACCTCTAACTTATTTCAATCCCTAGAAAATAGGGTTGGAAATAAACTAGACATTCAACAATTTATTCGTGAACTGTTCAGTTGAAACTTTGTTTATGTTCATTTATTTAACAAACAAAATGAACATAAGCAAAATCTTGTATTTGTTTATTTACATTCATTTATATTCATTTACGTTCATTCATTTACTTTATAATAAATAAATTATATATATATATATATATATATATATATATATATATATATATATATATATATATTCACCCGTAGAGTTTGGTATCACATCACACCCTTATGGGTGTCCGGTAATACCCATATTGGATGCCTAAGGTAATCGATGAAAAAACTGTGATGACGTAACATTGAAGTAACATTGAAATGGAGAAATTTTTTGAGATGGTGAAGTGATGGATACACGTCATGCCCTTAAGCTGTGGGGAGTGGTCACAACCAAACCACCAACTAACTCAGCGCAACCTAAGCATTTTAACATTTCACAACCAACCCACTAGGTTGTGGAAATGATGTTCACCAGTGGGTTGGTGGTGAAGGGACAAAAAGGAGGAGAGAGAAGTAGAGAGAAAATGAAATTCACGGCTTTTGATTGGGTGTCTTTATGTGTCTTTAGTACCACTACAGCCCACTCCACACCCAACCCACCAGTCTATGGGGCGGTGTTCACTGGTGGGTTGGTATGCCACGTAGATGCTACATAGGAAACTCACGTGTGAATACATTTCCACACCGGATAGCCTTATAGTGGGGAGTTATGAGTTATGACTTCGAGACTTGCTTCTTAGTTCTTACTCAAAGCTTATCCCGTACATTTTCAAGGCCTTATAAGGGGAATTATAAGGTATGACTTTGACTCTTTAAGACTTGCTTCTTAGTTCTTAGTCAAACCTTATCATGTACATTTTCGAATTTATCTCGGCCAAATGCCCCGTTTTAAGGAAGACCAACATTCGCTTTTCTATTTTTCTTTTTCAAAGTTTAGCTTATTTAGTTTTAAACACGTCTTAAATCATAGAAAAAAAAAACTACGACTATTAGGAAGACGGTATTTAAATATTATGTGATAATATGTATACATAAATAACTCGATCTATGTGTAATACATGCTATTATACAATTATAACTTTTGTTCATAATAAGATTTTGGGTTTTAGAATATCAATTAACTTGGACAATTTCTAGGATCGTGATTGCAATGACTTTTCAGAATCTGTGATTTCGACCCTTATTCCTGGGGTATCACGAAATCCAATTTGGGATAATCCAAGAAATGCAATTTTGAAAATCAAGCCACTTCCTGTTGGTGATTTAATATCATCAATATTATTTAAGTGTAATAGGATTAAATTTTTTGACCAAAAGTGATCTTGTTGAATATTAGACAAGTTAGGATGGTGTGGGAGTGCATACTTGTTCAAGTTTTTCAATATTCAAAGTACACTATTATTTATGAGCGAAACCCCTAAACGAACGGGGGTATGGGGGAAGCGCCCCTGGGAGAGGGGTTCAAGGGGCGGTAGCCCCTGGCGGGGTCCGTTTTATGATAGGTTTGGTAGTTTTGATGATAGTTTGTAACTATCTAGTGACAGTTTCAGACATGAATCATATAACCGCTTTGGTCATTTTTCTGGTACATCTTCTTAAAGAACATTGCACATACACTTTGATTTCATATCTCTGAATTTCATCTAATTGAATGTTCGATATGTACCATTGAAATATTTCAATTTGATAATGAATTACGACTTTCAGATAATCCAAACAATCTGTTCATCTCCTATTTCTAACACTTCCAAAATTAAAACAGAAAAATATATCTTGTTGTTTTGTGTCCTGTAGAGATAAAGAGAACAAAACATATTTTTCGTGTATATGAGTTCCTACCCTTTTCTGGAACCAGAAAAAAAAAGTTCTTATACTAGAGGGAAAAGAGGTTATGACAGTTGCCTCTAGACTTAGCGCTAAAACCGGTAGCTATTAGACATAACTAACACTTACATCATCAAGATATCATCATGAGAGTTTTGGTGGGAACCACCGTCAGGGGCGCTGCCTCTAGACCCCGTCAAGGGGTTGCAGCCCTTTAGAACCCTGCACCCAGGGGCGCCGCCCCCGTACTCCCGTATTCCCAAGTTCATAATTATCACACCAAGTGAGCACCCCCGCACTTCCAAGCTTGGTTAGTAATGAAGCTCGGCCTATCTTATTATTGATAATAACGATGAAATCGATGGCTTCATTGGTGACATAAATTTTGGAGCTGCGTTGCTTCTTTAGAGTCGGAGTCGATGTCGGTAACGACCAAAATATTTTGTAAGAAATAAAACTAAAATAAATGGAGACGAACTGGAGGAGATGGTGCCAAGAGAGAAACAATCACAGAGGGTTGAAGAAGGATTGAGATGCCACAAAAAAGTGAAGAAGAACACAAATCTGAATTTGATTGGCTGAGAAAGCGGTGAAACAAAAGTACAAACAACATGTGTCGAGCAAGAATATAGACAATGACACAAAACCACTATCCAAAGCAGAAAATGAACATTTTTGAACATATATACATAAACAGGGACCCATTTTGCCAAAAGCTTAGGAACTTTACTGTTCCTAAGCATTATCATTCTTTTATATATATATATATATATATATATATATATATATATATATATATATATATATATATATATATATTACACTAAAATATGTTAATAACACTAAAATTACCAACATTAAATGAAAGGAAAAACAACATAATTTCGTTGTATGAAAAAAATGGAAGTAAAAGGCTATAATTGATATAAAACCCAACAATGATAGTTCATAATGTTAAACTAATTAATTGATTAATTTTTATATAATTAGGGAGATTTCAATTAAATGATTGGTACATATATATATATATATTTTTTTCGTTCGACGAGTCCTTTCTTTCAAATCAGTAAATTCTTTCCAAAAATCTAATTCAAGAACCAAACATCGTAAAACCAAATTACTTATGGAAACTTCTTGACTTCAGTTAGATTTTTATAAATATCGAGATTAAGATGAGTTTTGCAATTGTGTAATGTTAAAACCTAGTGTCATATTTAACATGTTTCCTTTTAGGAATTAGTTTTTTAAGATTTTTTTTTTTTTTTTGGCAAATAGTTATTTTAGAAAACATGTTATACCGAAAATTACATGTAACACATAAAAAAATATATTAATTTTCATTAAGCAACCAACACATATAGTTATATAAGCGACAATAATAAATAATTCTCTTTTGAAAAATATCATATTTAAAACAACACAACATACAGAAAAATATGATTTTCCGTTAGGCTATCTATAATATATGTACACAATTATGTTTAGCATTTTTTTTTATGATTTGTGTTTAGAATCTATTGATTGAATGTGAACAAATTTATAGAGTATG